GGCCGTCTTAATGACTGATGCAAATACGCGTCGTTAGGCCTTGTTGGGCTCGTTTCGCTTCTATTTGTCTTTATAGCCCCGGCGTCGGCCATCTTGCGTCCTCTTTGCCATGCCACTACCGCAGACAGTGGCCGAGTGATTTGTTTTTCGCGCCAGTTTGATGAGATTTCCCGCGCCTGCTCCGATGCTCGTTCCAGAGAGCTCGTTTGCGATGATGATGATGGTGATTTAATGGGTATCTTATTGTTTGTTTAGGAGGGATACGTTGGAAATAGGTATGATGAAGCGCGTAGATTGGTTTTTAAAAAGGTCGTAAAGAAATTTATCGTGGTACATTGCGGATGGTAGAGTAATTGTACGCTGTGCTAGGATACTGCGTGTGATTTGTAATATATGTACCCTGTTGTAGAGGGTCTTGAGTTATTTCAATATCGATGGTCTTTGGAATTTTTACTGGATTTTTTTTTCTGTCCGGTAATTTGTCCTTTCAAAACAAGATTATAATTTCTTCATTTTTATAATGACTTAAGATAATGATCTAATAAGTTGATTGAAGTTATCTTGTAATGGAATTATTGGAAAAATATTAATCTAGAATACGAAATGCATATTATTTTCGTAAGTAATTTTCATTCTCAAACGAGAAGAAATATTTTTTTAATTTAAAAAAAGAAAAATCATATTCTATTAAAATTTCAATAGATCTATATCTATCTTCATTATTTTAATACGTGTAATTTTAAAATCTTACTATATAAACTTGTAATTCTTTTTATGAATCAGAAATCATAGGAAAAAATACAACTTTTTCATTACAATTTTGATTAATTCCAATAACTTTTTTTTCTATTAGTTCCATTAAAATCGTTTTTAATCGCAATAAAATGAAAATCCACAGCCTTTGATTGAAATAAAGCGAAATAATATGAAAGTTCTTCGTTTCAATGTTAGGGTTAACAAGACTTTTGCACGCGAGCTAATTAGAATGTCGCCTAGACCATTTATTTTTATTGGAAATCCAGGACATTTCATTGCAATTAAAAAATGATATTTTCAATCGAGGGTAACGACAACTAAAATAATTATCTTGTGCTTTCCTCATTTATATATCCGCGGATTTAATTGTAGAAATAGAAAGATTTCTTTATATGATTTTATTCTATCTTTACAATTAGACGATTATTATAATGAGGATTTATGTATTTTAATGTGTTTTATTATAACTCGATTATAGAAAACCTTGCAAAAGCTTTATATTAATTTTTTGCAAATAATAGTATACTTGTAATGTGTTTAATATATTTGTTTTTAACATATATATGAGGTAATAGAAATTCTAGTTGAACTTGTTCTACTAAAGATTTCAATTGATGTATCAAGCTATTCTATAAATCAAGTATCTTGTAACTATAAATTTGATCATAAGTTAGCATAATGTAAAATATAGATGCATTGTGAATGCAATATGAATGTCTTTTTCATATGATTGCAATCTATGAATAATTACGATTGTAATCATTATTAATACACTACAATGTATTGTGTATTTATACATTGTTACTTTGTCACTTTGTATCTCATAATTTCAATATTGTATGAGTATTATATTAACAAATAATTAAAATTATTTTTTATTTAATATTAATCTTTTGCATTATGAATTCATATTTTTTTGATATTTCATTATAATTAATGAAACGAATCAAAATTAAAGTTATATTTAGAACAATTGAGAAAACAATTATAGAGCAAGTGATTAAAATCAATATTCTAATTAATATTCTGTAATATTTTTATAAAAATATCAAGATAATATGAATTTATAATTTTTATATGTGATTTAAAACACATGTAAAAATTATTAAACAAAGTAAATAGATAAGACTCACGTGGATAATTCATATGTTCGAGTTTTCGATTTATATGCTGATTGATCAAAAATACTTGGAATTCTCAACAATGTGGAAACTTTTAGTTTCGCAGTCGCAAGTTCAAACGAGTTCGTCCGAATGTTTTGTGCAATCGTGGATCGAAGCGAAATTCGAGAGCTATTGCAATTACGAAATATCGAACACGGAAATCACGATCTCTTCCTGTTTTCGTAAGAAGGAAAACAAATTTTTAAGGTTATTATACTTTTTAACGCGATAACACGAGTTTGTTGGAAAATGAAAGTTCGAAGGATTTATTGTGGCAAACTTATCTTGATCGAATTTAAATACTTGAATTAAAGATTAAAATGAATTCAACATAAAATTAATTTCAACTATTGGCAAGATAAATTCCTTAGATAGTATAATTCAAAATCTTTTGATGATTTTTAAAAAATTGTTTTTCACTGAAAATATTTATCAAGTCTTTACAATATTCATAAATATTATTTGAAAAAGAAGAATTTTTTTTTTTTTTTTT